GATGTATGGTGTGCTATTAGCTCTTCGCGCTCCTCTTCGTTACTTAACGTCGAGTCGGTGCGTTGAGCCAGACGCTGCAGTTTCTTACTCTTTTCGCTGTCCGGAAGGAAAGATGCAGCGCTCATCGACATCAATGTGTTGGACATAGCTACAAGCGCCAGTATGTGATTCGATGTCAACGTCGTGCTCAGTTCCCAGTGCAACCGTGATGTGAATACAGCCGTTAATTGTTCTTGACGCAGCAATTCGGGCGCGATGTCGCGCTTTTTGGAGCTACTGGGTGTGGGTGGTATATTGTCCGGTATCTTGTAATTGTTCTGCCATGTGGGCAGCAGCAGAGACATGTAGCCAGCTTTGGAGAGCACGCCGAATGAGACAGGCACGATGGGACGCAACAAGCCCAATTGTGACTCACACACCTTGTCTAAATGTGGGTCCAGGCCCCAGGAGTGTAAGAGTGAGAGCAGCAGCTGTGCAACCTCCATAACGTGTGTCACTTCCATTTTTGAAGCTATTTTGCTGCGCAAATCGTCGGGTTGCTCCTGTGTCTCCACCACTTTCTGAAAGCTTTCGACTTTTGCTTGCACTTTCTTTTCCATTTGTTCCGTCTTCTCTTTGAATTTCTGCACTAAGCCGTGTTTGTCTTTATCTTTCAATATTTTTTCCATGTCGCCTGCCTTGTTCTTCACCTTGCCAAAGAAATCGCTAATTTTTTTTGATGCATCCAGATGTACAGCCTTATCCTTTGGATTATTCAGCACCACGCCGAGCACCTCCAATGCAGCCGGTGTCATTTGCGCATACTCCTCACTATGCAGTTCGAAAATAAGTCCTTCAATGTCGAAGAATAGTATATGACTTTCTGCGTCTTTTGGATTAGTGCGTAGACCTTGAATCACGAGCGGATTGCTGCGATGTTTCATTAAGAAATCAAAGTTGCCTTGATTGTGACCTTGCAGCTGTTGCAGTTGATGTATGCCGCGTTGGGTGGCATGACGTATGGCGTTCATGTTTCGTGACTTGATGCCGCGGAAGAAGTGTACCGCCGGGTTAGCCATACCCATTTCCGATGTAGCCGCTGCGGCGCCGCCGTGTCCACCGTTACCATCTTCGGCGGATTGCTCATCGCATGCCAAAAGAACTTCTTCCGCCAGCATGCCGTGTAAAACACGATCTAGATGACCTGTCTCCATTTGCCAAACGTACACGGAGCCATCTGAACAGCCTACAATGAGAAAATCGTCGAGGGGACGCCATTTAATGGTTATTACCGGAAAAAGATGACGACTTGCAAGCGTCACACATTTCCGTTCCTGTAAACTCAACAAAGTTACTGAGTGGTCAGACGCCACCGAGCAGATGCATTTCAGAATGCGATTACTGCAAGTCTCTGGCGGCACCAGCAGCTGTGTTATTTCACCGGCATGTACACAAAATCGATGTAACATTGTTCCGCTGTACAAGTCCCACAAGCAAACGGCGAAATCTACGCCACCCGACAGTAAATGCGACTTCTCGTAGCGCGGATGTACCAGCGATGGGCAAAGCAAACAATTGACGCGGCCGCGGTGGCCGTAAAGTATTTGATGGGATGGCCAATCACTGAAATTCTGTTTAATACCTACCAGCAATTGCATCATAACCGTTTGCGTTGCGGGCACTATAACTATAGTACCATCTTCGCGACCAATCACCAACCGACTCTGTTGCGGTAAGTAAATACTTGAAGTGAGCTTGACAGGCGTGTCCGTAATACGTGACAACTGATCGAGAATACCGACTGGCGGTGGATCCATAATAGACCAGGCCTCCACCAATGATGTACAGACTGTGGGCTTCAGCACCCTCGGTGGCATTTGTTTTGCTTGCAAAATGCTGATGTTATCCAGTGGTACATCCGGTACCGTCCATACTGAAATATAGCCTTCAGAATCACCACGCAGCAAATAGTGCTGGGGACTTTTGCCTTCTTCGCGCTGATAACGCAGCAGTTTCATGGCGGGAGGGCATGAAAGTACCTTGTCGCCAGGCTGCTGTAGCACGTAATACAAATAGGGTGCGTCGCGCACCACTGATTTGGCATGGAACTCTTTGTTGTCGGGTATACAATTGGCGGGCAACTTGTAGATATAGCCCTTGCCCTCGTCCGTCCAAAGCATGACACGATCGGAACTTATAAAATCACCACCTTGCCAGCGTTCCCGCGTAGGCGCAATCACTGAGCACAGCACTGTAAAATCACCAGCATCGTAGATCTGCCAGTATTTGGTGCATACAATTAGAACGGTGCGTTGATTTTGAGCACAGCAATTCATGGTAATGGCGTTCAAGCAGCGAATTTCCTTAGATTCATTTTCGTAGAGCGGTTCAGCATGCTTATTTTCATTGCCGATTAGGGTCCAAACTTTTACTGTGCCTGTAGTTGTAATTGCCAAAACAACGTCGTCTTTACGTTTCATGGGTCGTAGCACATGTAGTGCAGAAATCCAATCGGGCTTTACTTTTGAACTTAGCTGGTAAATGATTTCCAAACTGAATGGATCCATTACGATTATCTCGGGGTAATAGCCAATGCAAAATAGACGAACATCTTCGCTGTTTGCTGGATGGTAGCTTTGAATATGTGTGTGCACCTGTGCCAGTTTAACCGATTCCATGCATTTTCCATCGATTAGATCCCATGTGCACATTTCACCATTCTCCGATGAGCTCACGAGGAAATTATTTTCGGGCAGTACAGAGGCACGCACTAGGCACAATACTGGCGCCGAATGTCCAACAAGCAGACAACGGGGTGACATTTTCATGGTGGCTGGGTCAACTTGCCACAAACAGATTTGGCCATCATAGCAGCCGGTGACGAGAGTTGATTGATCATCCGACAGAAACACGCTGGACACACAGTGCGTGGGCGCCGATGGGCCCCACAACACCACTGGAACCACCAAATTAGTGCTGACCATGTTGAAATACCGAAATCGCTGTGGAAAAAATCGTTTTGGTGAGAATGGAAAGGGGAAATCATTTTGGATAGCGTTCTGGCCTCTACGCTGAGAAATGCTTGGCAATGAAGTGTACTTATTTTTGTTTGTTGCCCAGCATTGACTTGCTGGTCAATGAAGCGAACAAAACCCTTAAATTTTTCGGTTTGTTTTCAATTAGATTCCACTCGATTTTAAGTGAATTTTTCAAATCAGATAATTTCACGAATTAAGTGTTTGTTTTAAAATACTTCTTCGAGAAAGATATTCGTTAAATTATATCAAAAGCTTCTATCTACATTTAATAAATGAGTATATTATATTAAATAAAATTTCTTACTTTACTGTCGGTCTTGCTATTAAGTGAATTTTAGAGCTAAAATTAATTATGACAATTACATAGTTCAGAGATAAACATAAATCATGGGTTCAAATACTAATTTCTTTTTTATTGCAGATAGAGGGCTACTTTATAAAACCTGTAGTTAAACGTTAACTATTAAATACAAATCAAAACATTGAGTTGAAAAACAAAAAAAAAAAAAAAATAGCGAACGCACTCTGGAGTATTTAAGAATGAGAAGCCTTTGCTTGCTTTGTTATTAATATGACTTTTACACTGTTATTATTTTCTTCACATTCACACTCCAGGGCATCGAAATCCGAGCAAAAATTTTGCTTACTCGTGATGCATTTATTTGTTCGCTGTCACCAGCTAAACCAACACACTCCATAGCTCAACACATTTACCATCGTCTTACCATTGCTACCACTTGCTTTTTCTTTATTTATCATTGGTAGGTGCTATTAAGTCTCCATCACGACAACGAACACATTTCGGCTGGGATTCGAAGAATGCTGATAAGTGATTACTAAAAGTTTACCACAGAATACTGTCGCAATTGATAACACAATCATGATAAAAGTTGTAAACCTACAGTATGTGGCGAAATGAGGTTCCACTTTCGGATGGGTATTGAATTAAAAATTTATAAGATTTCCGTATAATTAAGCGTTTTTGAAATGGTTTCTGGGCCTCGGAAATCTATGTTTTATTATACGATGAATTACTTAAATCTTTTCATTTTGATACGGTTATATTCAGTATTTAATCGGCAAAGAATCGGTTAGCTAAATAATATAACCTCATTCAAGAATCGGCCAAAAACGGCCGATGCTGACTCTTTTGGCCTATACTAGCCCCGGCATCGGTCGTTAATCGGTCGGACTCTACTTTGTTTATTGTTTGCTTGTAACGACTTAATTTGGTCACACACTGTATGTATATATGGATGTACATAACGTTAATATAAAATAATGTGGGGAAACCTTTGTAAAAGATTGGAAACGAATATCTAAGCACAAATTATAAAAAAAAAAAATTAAATTGGTCTAATTAGCAAACTTGCGAAGCCATGTGAATATGCTATGAATTATTTATAAACATTTCAACTGATTAGATAGTGGATGTTTAATTTGCAGCTCATGATTTATGCGCTAACTAAACAAAATTCGAAATATGTATGTACATAGGTAGATACTGTAGATTCAAGAAGCGCTGTTCATGATGAAGTGGACAAGTATGCTCCGAAGGTGACATAAAAAGGATTTGGAGCCATTTCCCAAACTTCGGAAAGTTTATTTATTATGTATTATAAGTAAGCACAAAAACGCTTGAATTTCGTTACTGCAGTTAAATAATGGAACTTTTCCGTTAAGCATTTTCTGCTGGATGTTTTCATATAGGTTGGGGGTTTATTACACTATATTGCGTTATTATGCACATCATGGCATTTTAAAGCAGATCCTACTTCGAAATATAAACATATTTTTATTATTTGGCAGATGGCAGTCATGGACTGAAAAAATACCAACGCCATCCAATGATGGACGATACTATAAGTATATGTACATATGTACGTACTTAGTTATAGAATTTAAATTTCCTTGCGCGCATTTCTATTTATAAGTAATCAGAAAATGGTGGTTAATTCACCAAACCAATTGAAAATTAGGAACCTTTTTGACGAGCATATCAATAATCTCGTAACAGCTTTGAACTAGCTTGAAACAGATGTGAAAGCACGAGTTTAGTTAATTGAACGTTCAGTGGGATATTGTATACGCGACAGCATTTGGTACATTCTTACAGCTCCGCTTGCTCCCAGATGCTTATTTCATTGTACGTTAGTTTGCTTACTATGTGTACACTATGTTCACATAGGAATACATTTGTGTGACGAAATGTGTTCGGTCGTAATGGTTGCACACTCCCAAAGCAAATTAATTTCTTGTGCTAACATCGCAATTGTCCGCTTCTGCTCTGCCTCCTTCCGTCGCCTCCGCGGCTGTGCGTGTCCCACAACGACTCTTGCCCTCTTCCTTGTGCTCCCTCGTCGCTCCTCCTCGTCTAGACACACAAACAGCAGCGCAGCGACAGCGCCAGTTGCAGCAGTTATGGAACTTCAATGTCGCGCAGTATGCTCCGCTCCTCCTCCTCCGCCTTCAGCGTTTCCTTGCTTTCTTGCACTCCTCAACTCGCTTTAATAGTTAGTCTATGCATTTACGTATTTTATCACCTCGTCACCACGTAATTAAACTAAATATTTTTGCTAATTCCAACGAAAAATTCCTTTTCTATCACTTTTTGTCTCTTGACTCCGAAAAGAAATGAAAATATCGACCGAGCAGAAAAATTATCGATTGACTTGCGTGTAAAATGTCGAAAACTGTCAGCGAACAATAAGCAAAGCACACTGAATTACGTCATTACGTTTGCGTTGTTCGAGTGGGCTTTGTTTCATAGTCAGTAACGTAAGGTTAATTCTGACAACCCACATCTTAGGTCTATTTCACATATCTCACAAAATATTTTACATTTTAAGTGCAGCTCCTGAGGATTTCAACTGCCTATGCCAGAATTCTATAAATAAAAAAAAAATTATTTTTTTTACTTAATTTGAGCCACTGAATAGGAACGTGATCTCCTTTAATTTCCCCCCTCCCCCCCAAAAAAAGCGTATCTCAGAAAAAAACATAGGGAACACGTTTTTTGATCGAGCGAGTTTATTACAGTTAAATTAGGGCCGAACAATGGAATTTGACGATTTTTTTCCACCACACAACCACAACATATTATTTTTTCATATACTACAACAAGAAAGTTATCACACATCAAAAACTTTAACGCTAGTATCTCAGAAAGCAGTTTTAATAGAAGTGCCTCTATTGCAACTACCTCCTCAATTATTGGAGATAAAACAAAAACAAATTGATTTTCTTCCGTATTTTTTTCTTTAAGAGTTGAATATTTTTTATACAAATTTTTAATAAAACCCAAACACCCTTTTTTTGCTAATTTTTACATTCATAAGTTATTTTGTGTTAAAATTACGTTAGTATTCATAAGTGGTGGTCAAATCCAAGGAAGGTTTTGCTCCGTCGCATCGCAATGGTTTCTACAAAGGATTAAAGTTCCCTATTTTTCGTAAAAATTAGTATCATTTTTCATTACATTCGGTTATCCTTAGAAAAATTTGGTACTTAATATTTTAGCGGAAATTTTAACCATCTATAAGCAATTTTTTAAACAGTGGGTCAAAAAGGCCCGCTCTGGTGGCAGTTGATGGGTAAAACTGTTGGAAAAACTATAGACTCCCCTTTTTTCTATCAGCAACCCGCAAAAAATCATAAGAACTCCATAATTTAACATAATGGTAGATTAGATTATTACACAAACTTATTAATAGCGTCATAAATTACTCCAATATCTTAACTTTTTAACTATTTAAATTTTTTAATTTCTTTAAATTTAAATAGTGCATTGGGATCTGTAAAGAGTATACATAACCATATATGTATGTATGTATTTATGTATATACCTCAGACCTTTTTCTGTTCACCCATACATCAGCGCCAGGCACTCAACATTTTAACTCAAGTAGGAAGTAACAATATTAAAATTTAAAACTAATTAAATAGAATTATAATCGGAATTGGCATGGCGAATGCCTAACGCCGACGAGATGACATAATAAAATTAGTTGTCTCGTGGCTCTTTGGAAACTAGTTGCCGCCGCCGCTTCTATATTGAAGTTGACCACGCCGACACCGCAAAGCCTGTCGACGTAAACCACTAATCGTTACCTTAATATAGGAAGGCCCTATCTCACATCATCGCTGCAATACAAAACACTGAAATTAACTATAAATCTAAAATTCACTATTTGATTGATTATGAAGCATTTCATCGCCCGCACATAGTTTTATGAAACAAAAAAATTAGTTAGTTACGGCTTTTCTGCATTTCAGCGACGATGTGAGGTAGAGCCTTTCTATATTAAGGAAAGGATATGTATGTGTTTCTCTCCAAATGATTTCCATGTGTATCAAGTTTTAATTGTAAAAACCCAGTTTACCACAGTAGTTATTACTCCACAGCGCAAAAAGGAACCTTAGAGAAATGTGCTTCTACACTTTGGAAATAGACTACTAAAATATGGCTATTACTTGCACCACCATTTACCATAGCGGCTACAACCCCGCCCAGATCGGTTAGTACCTCAATCATTGTCGTCAAGCTCTACTGACGGAATACCCAGGAAGCGTGCAGCCCCGATGGGGTCTGTCCATAAGAGCAGAGGCATTAGCAGGGTGGGGTTCAGTGGGCATGCCCAGAGAGAATTCGTTTGGCACATCTGCATTTATTCTGCTAAGGTACGAGTTTAACCTGCTGCAGTAGCCATATCCATCCATCCTGGAATTTCCTTTTACTTAAAAGTATTATTCAAAACAACAGTGGAACTTTTTTTGTTGATGAATATTTAAGTAAGTACCCGTTTTTTGTTCCTACTCAGGTTTATTTACCAAACCCAGAGAAAGAATAGAGCCAAATACTTTTCTAAAAGAAGCATTCACAACGCTTTAGTAGCACACCTTCGCGTTGCTTGCTTCGAGCAGGTCATGTAATACGTTTCAAAGGTATGTACATATTAATGATTACAGTACAAGGCGCACACGTTGTACGACCAAGCGAAAACCTGGGTTTTTAACGTCCACTAAGATATAATACCATTAAGGAAAACGAACGCCAATGGCCGGAATCCATTCCAACTGTTGGATATGTGTTTGGAAGGGAACAATTCTATGCTATGGTGACACAAAAAAATGTTTGTAGTGTTAATTCGAAAATCCAAACGCTACCGCACGCTTATTTCAAAAGGCTCAAATAAAGATATCAGTATGTGTATAAATACGGCAAATTAGGCACTTACTTCTATGCTGCAAATGGAACGGCTTTTTTGTAGTTTAAATTGTGATTTTACACAAGTATTTTTGTTAAAAATTCACTAATTTTACTAAAATTCAGAGTTTGAAAAACAATTCGCCATCTTTGACATTTCTATTTCATAGGGTATGTTCAGTGTTCGCACACAGAGTTGCATTTGGTAACAACGGCTCCGAAACGATTTTAAAAAAATTTTGTAAGGGGTTTTTTGGTTGGGTTTAATTTTTCCAAACCCAAATGGGTTCATTATTTGAAATATTATCTGTAAATCAAAATTTAAAAATTATAATGGTGCCAAAGTTTTCGTAATTTTTTACCAAACCTTTCGTGCAGTGAACATACCGAGTGGGTTCATCAGCTGTTGGTTTGTTTACATCCTAATCATAGCCGTTTTTGCGGTGTGGCAGTTTCATTTATCTGCAAAACTACTACTAATTAGATTATTCTGCAATTTATTACAACTTTATAAGATGCATAAGGATGTTTGGTATTGTAATATCAGGGTGATATTTATAAATTTTCTAGTAATTCAAGGGGTATACAAAACGCAAGGTGTAAGGTTTTACTCAAAGGATCGTGTGCTTGAGCTGAGGTTCCATACCACTTTTCCTTTTTGCTTTCAAAATTGAAATAACACTATACTTTGCAGAGAAAAAGTACGAGCAATGTTCCAGCATGCTTATGAGGGTTACTTGGAGCACGCTGCCGGCTATGACGAGCTGCGACCCTTGACGTGTGATGGCGTTGACACCTGGGGTAGCTATTCCCTGACACTAATTGACGCGTTAGATACCCTGGCGACTATGGGTAACTATACCGAGTTTCGAAGAGTAGTAAAACTACTGGAAACCATGGACTTCGAGAAAGACATAAACGTTTCCGTTTTCGAAACAAACATACGAATTGTGGGCGGTTTGCTTTCAGCGCATATGCTGGCAAAACGAGCCGGTGTGACATTGGAGCCAGGGTGGCCATGCCAAGGATCGTTACTACGATTAGCGGAGGACGTGGCAAGACGTTTATTACCAGCATTTGATACAGCTACTGGAATGCCCTACGGTACAGTCAATTTGCGATACGGTGTACCCAAAGGCGAAACATCAGTGACGTGTACGGCTGGCGTGGGGACATTTCTAGTTGAGTTTGGTGCGCTCAGTCGACTCACCGGTAACCCTATTTATGAAGATGTTGCTCTCAATGCAGTCTTCTCTTTGTGGGAGCGCCGCTCGGCAATTGGCCTTTTTGGCAACCACATTGATGTACAAACAGGACGCTGGACTGCATTTGACTCTGGTATTGGAGCAGGTGTTGATTCATTTTTTTGAATATCTGGTAAAGGGTTCAATTATGCTCAACCGGCCAGAATTGATGGAGATGTTTCATGAGGCTCGTAAAAATATTGACAAATATCTGAAAAAAGATGACTGGTACGTGTGGGCCAACATGAATAAAGGTCAGGTGACATTGCCAGTTTTTCAATCCCTGGAAGCTTTTTGGCCCGGCGTGCTAAGCATGTTTGGCGACATAGGACCGGCAATGCGCACTTTGATAAAGTACAGTACAGTTTGGCGAAAATATGGCTTTCTGCCTGAATTTTTCAACATACCGCTAGGAGAAGCCTCCGCAAATAGAGAAGTATATCCCTTACGTCCTGAACTGATCGAGTCGGTGATGTATCTATATCGAGCAACGCAAAATCAATTTCTGTTGGAGTTGGGTGAAGACATATTGCAAACAATTGAATTTAGTGCTAAGACACGATGTGGATATGCAACGGTAAATGATTTACATACATATTTCTATAACCAAATTGTGTACTTATGCTATTCTGAAACATTCAAATCTTTCCACAGATACGCAATGTAGTTACCCATGAGAAAGAGAACCGAATGGAATCATTCTTCCTCGCAGAAACGACTAAATACCTTTACCTCCTTTTCGATGAGGAGAATTTTCTACACAACGACGGTGCCATAGGAGATCGTTTGGAAACTCCATATG